CAACAGTACAAAGGTGTACTCAATTTGGCACCAGTTGCTAAAATCATCATCTGAAACCAAAATGTTGGCAGATTTGAAGAATGGTGGTACAGTGAGATAGGTTTCTAGCCAATATGGTGATAGGTCATTGAAGAACTTTACTGGTAAGGTATAGTTAACTCATATGCTGGGAGCTTTAGTTTCCTCCAATGCTCAGAGCACCATTGTGCAGGTGCAGCCACAGACTGCCTGGCATATTGCTACATGTCTCTGCACGTGTGACAGGCTCTGTATTTTCGGATGACAAGAGTATAACTAGCATCTGCAGCATGGTTAGGTTTTGGATGCAAGTAGACATTTGCTTCCTAAACCATGGAATGTCCGAGCAATTTTTATTTTGTTTTCCACGTGTTTTATATACTTAATGGCTTGCAAAGTCGTTAGAAGCAAATCTCGTCAAATAACCCAGAGGCTTGAACCAGACGCTTATCACACAGATTTTGAAGTTTAAATGCCCACAGGTCCTGAATCGAAGTATGGCTGAAGCCCTTGTACATAATTGGCATGGTCATGCCTGAAGAGCAGGAGGATGTATCTTCCACTGGGATAGCTGCTTACAGTCATTTGAATGCGAGCTAAAACTTGTATCTTGAACAGGTTAAGGCTTTGCTGTATTTGTGTCTGATCTCCCACAATGATACAGATTATGAAAAACATTGCTGTTTACTAATACTGATTTGACTAATTTACAAATTACTGACATGTAATTCTAACTCTCCCTTTAGATCCTGTGTTGCAAGTACACTTTTAAAACCTACAGACAATTTTTATCCCACCCCATAATAGTCACACAGCTGCTACACATTTAGGACTCCACCCGTTGTGTGATACAATGCCTGTTGTCTCTACAGTATCACGTAAGTAGCAGTTCTGAGAGATGAGGAAACTAACACCATTCTGAGCTGTTTGGTTTCAGTGAATCAAACTGGTTCAGATCTGCTCAACATGGAGTTGAAACTCTTCTGCACCGAAGTGACTCAATCTGTCCATTCCTGACAATCAAATGAATGAAGCATTATCTGAGGACCAATGGCATGTGATCAGCTTACCATCAAGGATCCTTGAAATCATTGCACTTATTTTCCTTATTCTTGATTACCGTTCAGTTAGAAACCACCAGCCGCATGGCCTTGAAAACATTAGTCTGGCCTGCAGCTGAGGGAGTTTCCCACTGCTGGCAAAGCTTTCTAAGAAATTGCAGTGGCCACAGGAAGTTCATTAAAGTGCCAATGTCATTGTTTTTCTTAAAACAATTAAATAATGAAGAATCCTGAAGCACATACCTGACTGTGTCCATAACATGTTGTATGGTGTGTTCAAGCAATTTTGATTTAAACGTTTTAAATATTGATTGGAATAAGTGCATTGAGTAGATGGGTTAACTTCAATGTCCAACCAATTCTCTAAAATTTCTCTAATTGGAAGTTGGTCCTTGACATGTCCTTCTGTTACCTTTTTCTATACTCCATGCCAAGTGGCAGAGAGCAAGAAAAGGAATGCATGGATTACTTGCATTTATGTAGCGCCTTCCAAGACTTCAGGAAATCCCAAAGCACTTTACATTCAACATTGTACTTTTGAAGTCAGTTGTAGTGTAGGAAATATGGCAGCCAATTTGTGACAGCAAATTCAAACAGCAGTATTCTGATAAAAACCAGGTAGACTGTTTTTAGTGATGTTGATTAGGACAAAATATTGGCTATATCAGGGATAACCACGTTGGTCTTTTTGAAAGAGTGCCATCGAATCTTTTATGAGAGAAGCTGAGGCCTTGGTACAGTGTCTTATCAGACAATTTCTCTGACTCTGCAGCAATCTCTCAGTAATGCACCAGAGTGTTAACCTAAATTTTTGTGTTTATATCTCTGGACTGAAATGAGTGAAGCCATTGATAGTCAAGAGGTGATGGTTAGACTTGCTGTCTCTTGTTGGAGATACCTGCCACTTGTGTGGTGTAAATGCTACATGCTTAATTCTGGACGTTACCTATGTCTTGTTGCATTACAGGCAAGCAAACGTTATTACCTAAGGAACTGTACATAAAACTACTGATTTGTATATGAATCCTCAGTGAACCTCTGGTCTTGTAATGGAGGTAGATCATGGATGAAGCAGCTGAAGATTGTTGGACATAGGGTATTCACCTAATTTCCATAAAACATCCATCTGCCCCAAAACTCATTTCCATCAAAGCCAATATCTATGTGTTTTTCAACCTCTTCCCTAGCTACCGGTTTCCTCATGTGAGAGCCACAGAATAGCTGTTTCTAATAACATGCAGCTCATGAAAAGCCAGTTAACATTAGTGTTTATTTTTCTGCAAGAAACAGATGTGAAGCAGATGATGACCAAGAGATTGCTGTGTCCTGTACATTTGAAACAAGGCTAAATCAGCCACACTATCATTCATTTGTGTTCACGCTTAACAAGCCTGAGACACTTACTTAAGGGAGTTTGGATAGGTTTAGATGAAAAGCTAGTGCCCAGTGAGCCATTAGAACAGAACAAAACTGTACAATACAAATGCAGAACTAGAAGATGATTTCTTTGAATAAAACCTTAAGAGATGTAAACCAGGCTGCAGAGCGTGTGAATGATGATCCCACCAGTCTCTCCAAGTCAAGAGAATTGCTAGTAGAGCTTGTGACACATGTAGAGGTGCTATCCAAAGGTGTACAGCAGAGGGGCAAGATACTGGCGGCCAGGAGTGCATGTTGTATTGGAGAGGATTTCACCCGTCTGGAGGGCAGCTGCCTGAATATGTGCAAACCTTGCCCTGCTTTGTGCAAGATCTCAGCAGCTCAACTCAATGTGAAACATTGAATGACATAACTGCAGGCCTCAGAGGTATGGCAATTGGGTTGATAGGCACCGTGAGACCAGAGGATGTTTGGTTGATTCTCTCTGAGGGATTTAGTGAACATTCAGTTTATGAGGGCTGCTCTTCTACTGACAGATGCTAACCAAAATCCAGGACTGAAAACCAAGTCAAATTTGCAAGATCAACAAAGGAACCCCTTTTCCCTTTATTCAACCCAGGACTGGAGTCCCTGGGATATAAGGGATTTCCCTACCCCAAGACTGATAGAAATAAGCTGCCTAGAACTATAATCCTACGCATGAAATGAGGTGTTAGAACAGGGCAGACAAGAACTTGTGTGATCATAAGAGTTGTGTATTGCGAAAAATATTTGTATTAATTCATTAGAATATGTGATACAAGGATTGCAAAGTTAATATGTGGATGTTGAAGCTGATGATTATAGTGTGATGCTTCATTATGAAAAGAAAGAACTTGCTTGGAAGGAAGGCAGCAACACGTATTTATATAGCACCTTTTATGGTCTCAGAACATCTCAAAGCCCTTCACAGCCAATTAAAATACTTTTGAAGTGATATCCCCTTTGGAATGACCAAATCAGTTTTGTTTTCAGTTGTTATGTTGTTTGAGGGATAAACATTGGTCAGGAAAATTCACCTTGTTTTTGAAAACTGCCACAGGACCGTTTCGATCTAACTGAAGACAAGACCGTATTTTAAAAGCCAATTGTGAATTTTACAATTTGATAGGAAATATATGACCTGGAAAGTGAGAAACTAAATGTGATAAAGGACACAAATCACTAGAAAGTAGTGATAGAAATTAATAATGCTATTCAAAAAGGAAACCAGGCACTAGAGTTTATTCACGCAGAGATAGGGTCAAAAAGTGGGAATGTTATGTTAAAACTGCATAGACCACACAGAGACAGTTCTGGTTGCCATTTTATTAAAATGGAGAGACAATGGACAGTCTACTGAAGAGACTTACAAGAGAATATACCAAAAAAATGCAAAATTATACCTATTAGAAAAGAATGAATGGGCTGGGACTCTTTTTGAAAAGGGAAAGCTGAGGAGTAATATAATAGACCATTTTAAAATTGTAAAATTGTGAAATGCTGTTACTGTGGGCTTGGAGCAAATGCTTCCACTTGTAGGGAAGAACTAACCTAAAAGCCTTCATTATTAGATCATCTTTAAAATATCAAACATAGAATTCAGCAGAAACCTCTTTACTCAGAAAATGGGAGAATCTTGAACTCGTGACCACAGGGAGTGGTTGAGGCAAATAGTATAAATGCTTTTAAGGGGAAGTTAGATAAGCTTATGAGGGAGAAGGAGTAGGGGCTATGTTGATAGAGTTAGATGAGGAAGGATTGGAGAAAGCTTGAGCATAATTGTCCCAAAGACTAGTTGGTCCAAATAACTTGTTTCCTGTTCCATGCTATAATGCAATGTAAAAGGAGAGCCCATCTGACAAAATAGCACTCCGTCAGCAATGGCTGAAGTGTCAGTCTAGATTATCTGCTTGAGTATTAAAGTGGGACTTGAACCTTCTGATTCAGTGATGAGAATGTACAACTGAACAAGGCATATACTAAGCTAACAATAAGAAATGTGTTGCTGAACTCTGAGCACACCACACCTCTTTTAAAACCTCTGTTATATTTAATTGGGAATTATAATTTAATTTCTAAAAGCCACAGAATTGAGAACCAAATCACAGACAATGATTCTTGGTTCAGAGCAGCCCCGACAAGCCATCAGTTTGTTTTTCTGAGTAACATCAGTTTCTGAGTTCAATGAAGAATTAAAACCTGTCAGTCTCCCAAAGAGCTTGTTGGATTAAATTGCTGGACAATCTGCAAATTTCCTGCTGAAATTCCCACAAGTGACCAGGAAAGTGCAGAATTTCTGGGTCAACCCTTAATTTTTCCAAGACCAGCAGGGCATTCTCCTGGAATCCTGATCGATAATCAGCCACCACCCCCACAAATAACTACACAAAAATGTCATACTAATTAATATTACTGGTATTCACGGGATCTTCCTGTGTGCAACGTTATTGCTGCATTTGCCTAATTAAAGTCAGTCATTCCTCTCCAAAGCAGCTCAATGCATCTGTAGTGTTTGAGATGTTTCTGAAAGAGATGATAATGCAGAGTAAATCTGGTTCTTTGTACTGGAGAAACAACGTGACATGATCTCCACGAGGTGATCTCGCAGTTCTATCTTATACTGCACTAATCTGACTGCTGAGTTAATACTACCAGCCTCTATAATGCATCAACACAAAAGTTGTAGCTAGCCCATACGTGTCACAGTTATGAGACAGCATTTTCATCAATGATCTGCAGAAAAAACCACTTTAAAATTTGAACCAAATATTCAGTTCCTGTGATGACGTTTTAGTGGTTTTGAGTACTTCCGCAACCTACAAAAGGCGGTGCAAGGCTAAATCTGGGAGACTTGTCCAATAACTGAACAGAATACTTTCTTAAAGAGCTCTGCCACTTGTCTTCTGCAGTCATATGTCTGAATTGTAATAGAATGGAATTTGGAGCAGGTAATTTGCACAGCAGGTATTCTAACTTCCAGTGGTTTAGAGTGGGTTATGTTTTATACTGCATTTAGCATTTAAGAACTTTTAGAAATTATTATTTGTTTTAAATGAGTGTTCAAAATAATTGAAAATTTCTTTTGTGCATCTCAGGAAACAAGTGCACGAGATGTGACTGAGGTCGGGATTGTCTTTAACCTGTTTGCTTGTTTTTTTCAGGGATTCTACACATACTTGTGCTGTTGTCTTTATTTTGTCTCAACACCAGTGCTGCTCCTATATTGAATAAAACAATGAATATGAGCTACCAACTAGCAGTTGAATTAAATCGCTCTGCCTCTGCTTTACTAGATTTATATGTAAGAAACTTTTACCTTATTGTTATCCTTTCAAATCTTGAATGTTTTATTTGAAATTGCATTTTGTTTTTAGTTTAGCCCTTAAAACCTTTGTGCGTAACTCATTGAATTCCATATCTATGATTTCCCACAAACTGTCACTTTAAATTATTTTCCAAACGTAGGGATGTAGTGGTGCAGTCAGTTATAACGTTGCCCTTCAAGCTGGGATTAAAACTGCCCCTGACTGATCTTTTGCCATTCTTGGTTATAGTGGGTGAATTTCAAATGCTATCATTTTAGGGATCCAGTGTACTTCCTGCTGCTGCTCTCATCCAGGCTTGGGATTGGCTGGAGCTTGATGATTCCCACAGTCAGGACAGACAGAACCTAGGTGTTTAAGTGTGGACCGGATGATCGCTTGTGAAGTTGCTGTGTCTCCTATTCCATGTGTCTCGATTATTGTTGGATTCGCATGTTCATTTGGCATTGATTGTGTGATGGCACATGCCCATAGCATTCTTTCTCATGGTCCTCCTTTTAATGTGCAAGTATCTGAAAACTGAACAGTTGCAACCAGTCCTGTTGATGCATTTCCAAATCTCAAATACGTCTTCACTATAAACTGACAACCTTGCTCTATTAGAAAGGGACAATGTTTGAAAAGAAACCAAATAGTGTTAGAAGAGAGTGGAAGAATCTTTTTGCTGTATGGGCAGATCGGAAAGTGGAGTTAAGGACACAATTGGATCAGGCATGCTTGTACTGAATGGCAGAGCAGGCTAAGGGGCTGAATGGCCAACTCCTGTTCCTTTCTTATGTTCTTATACTGAGGTTGCATTAATCTGAGAACAATTGGTGCTAAGGATGTCTATGTAACTGGGAATGACATCAGTCAGACTGATAAGTGTGTGCTGTAAGCTCATTACTCTGTCAATGAGATAAACTGTAGGTTGGAAAGGTACAGTTCACGCCTATGTTTCCCCAAGTATTATCTTCTGATCATGGGCAGAACACCTGAGGACATGCTGGACACAGGGAGAGAGGGGAAGTTACAATGTGAGTCACTGGTATTTCCCACCTTCCACACTGATAATGATTCCATCACTAACCCCTCCACTCTCATTCAGCACTGCAACTTTACATGTGGCTTCAGGGATAACCTGAAGTGGAGAAAAATGATGTTTCATGTGTGTTGCTGTTCTTATGAATAATGAAAGTACGGTATAATACAACTACCCCTTAACTGTTGTTTGTTTTAATGCTCTTACGTGGATGATATTTCTAAGCGCAAAATCTTTACAAAAGAGCAGTTAATCCAGGCTTGCATGACATCTTTACTTCAATCATTCAAAAGGCACAGGCTCAGAAATTGTTTCTAATTCACTCATTGGCATTGGTCTGACTGAGAAATGCTACGTCTCTGATTAGAATGCTGTGAGTGGTACATTCACTTGTCACACCCCACCTGGAGACAGTCACTGGTTGCCAGTGCTCTGCCTTCGCTGTAGGTAGATGTGTGGGGACTAGAATTAGCGGTGGAGATGAAAGAAAAAACAGGAAACAATGCAAGTTATAAAATGAGTACTAATTGAAAATGCATTCTCATCTAGGATCTGTAAAAATAATATAGAAAGGCATTAAATTTCCAGTTAACTAGTGACAGTCACATTGCTAACAAAAACATTTCCTGTTTATTTAGTAAGATAGCAATTAAAGTTGCTTCTTAACGGGTTCCTTTCAGTTGTGATGAGTACAGCATAATTGAATGTGAGGCAACAACATGATTGTACTTTAACTTTAAACTATCTTGACTCTCTGGAATTGAATCCCGAAATCCTTGTTTTTCCAATTTAATGTCCCACATAAATAGTACCTTTCTGACTAATTTAGGAATCTATTTGTTTTTCTGATGACAACTTTTAAAGTGCCTTGGGATTTTTATAGATGGTAGAGATGCTCTCTCTCTCTCTAAATATATGCAAGTTGTTGTTATGTATTCCCATTACTAACATTAGCTTTTATTTTCAGCTGTCTGCTCAAGGCTATCCTTTCTCTAATGATAATGCCAAACTACATGTGTGCAGAGTTGAGGTGAAGTGCCTTCCCAGAGGACAACTAGCCAATATGGAGAACAATGAAATGCTTAGGAGAATACACACGGGTGTAAAACAGTTTGATTTGCACTTGAAAAATGTTGAGGTCCAGCAGAAGAATATGAACTCTCTGAAGAAAGAAATGCATGATGAGCTTAAAAATACTCGGACACAGCTAATATCGCTGCAGTCAAACCTCCGGTTGATTCTGGACATCAGAGGTTATCATGTTCCCGAAGAGTTAGAATGTTCTCCAGAACACATTAGCATCCCTAATAATCTGTTTGAACAAAAGCAACAAGGATGTGCAATACTGCGAGAGTTTAAATGGTATATGAAGCAAGTGTTAAAGAGTTTTCATCACTTATTGAGGAATGCGTATGGGAAAGCAGCTGTCAACTCATAGTTTGCATGCTGTACAATATTTGGTTTTCGCTGCAACTGAGTATACTGCACCTTCTACAATTTCCACTCCAGCCCAGTAAGGGACTCGATGAGAATAAATTGTGGAAATGTAACATTCAGATACAATATGCAATTGCCTTACTTGCAAATGCAGCAATACTTTCACCTGGGCCAATATCTTTGCTGAAGTTGTTAAGTGCACTTCAACATGTGTTGTGACTTAAATCAGGTTTGAAGAAGAACAGGTTCTGCCTTGCAAATGTGTTGAGTAAGAAGCTATTTGAGACATTTCAAATTACATTTTCGGGGAAGAAAGAAACAAAACATTCAACCAATTTTATATTTAAAAGAGTCAAATGAAGTTAAAAAGTGACCTAAAGTGAGCTGCCAGTTTCCAAAGATTGATTAATTGCCTTCCAAAGGACTATTTCTTGTACAACCTGATCTTCATAGTGATGGACTCTGTAATGCGATTTGTTTCCCTATGTGAGAATGTTTTTATTTGTTTTGAAGTTGATTTTTTTTGCTATGTTGACTAAAAACAGAACTCCAAGTTAGTATAATTAGAATATTTCAAATATTGATACTAAATGCAGTATAAATTGATATTTTTGCATCTGTCCGAATGAGTGCAAGATGAAAACCTTCAACAGCATGTCTCTTTGTCAGCAATACTCCAGATGTTGACTATATTAATTATAACTTCTTCCACGGGGCTCAAGCCCTAATCTCAAACAATTTCTTTTGTCAACCAATTTGGAAGTATGATTCCTGCCATTACTGGCTTATAAATGCAGGTGTTTCTACCTCTTTTCAGCAGCACTGGACTGTTTCTAACCTCTCTTACGTTTCCACCTGTATTTTATCATTTTGTTCAGATCATCTACGTCCTCGAGTATCGCTGGAAGATCTCCAGTTTCTGGCACACCTTACTGTTCAGTAGTGATATTTATTCAGTTGTGGTATTTATTAAAATACACAGATTACAATTTAAAAATGCTGCGGTTTTCAAGAAAAGCTTTGTGAGAAAACTGGATACTCAAGATTTAAAAGCTGTAAATACTTTGTGGAGAGAGACAAAAAGTTAACATTTCAGGTTAATGACGTTTGTCACAACTTAAAGTGATGTTCAAAAAAACCAACTGTTCTGAAGAACAGCCTAGGTTTGTTTTCTTATCATTATTTATTTAATTATTATTAAATATTAAGAATATTAAATATATTATAAATTTTGTACACAGGCTTATTTAATATGTATTTTTTGTATTTATTTGGATTTTTAAATAAAGAATTGAACTGAACTCATTCTTCTATTGTTTCTTTGTTACATATCTATTAATTGAATGATTTCTAATTGAGTTTGTACAGGATGTTGGTAAGGCCTCTTCTGGACTACAGTGTCCAGTTCTGGTCACCCAGTTAAAGGAAGGATATTATTAAGATGGAGAGGGTTCAGAAGAGATTCACCCAGGATGTTGCCGGGAATAGAAGGTTTGAGTTATAAGGAGAGGCTGGATAGGCTGGGACCTCTTCCGTTGGAGCTTGAGGCGTGACCTTATAGAGGTTTATAAAATCATTAGGAGTATAGATAAGTCAAATGGCAGGTGTCATTTCCCTAGGGTGGGACATTTCAAGACTAGGGAGCATATTTTTCAGATGAGAGGAGAAAGTTTTAAAGAACAAATGAGAGGCAATTTTTTTTCACAGACAGTACTTTGTGTGTGTAATGAGCTTCCAGAGGAAGTGGTGGATACGATCACAGTTACAATGTTTAAAAGACATTTAGATAAGTACATGAATAAGAAATGTTTGCAGGGATGTGGGCCAACAGCAGGCATGTGGGACTAGTTTAGTTTGGGATTATGGTCGGCATGGACTGGTTGGACCAAAGAATCTGTTTCCGTGCTGTATGAATCTGTAACTCTATGATACCAAACATTGGCTGACAGTGCACAGAAATTTAATTGCTGATTAACAGCGTTCTAGTAACAAATACAGTACATGTAATTAAGAGCATGCAGAATTCATGACTTTTTCCTTGCTATTCGTATTCATCATTATTGTCTCATCTCTCTCTTTGTCATTTTACTAGCCTCTTGCTGTCATTGATTTAAGTAAAAATGATGTAACACTTTAATTCCATTACATTAGAACTAGGGATTTGTTAACAGGAAAGGTGTCATAGTACATCTAAAGAATGGGCACTGTATGTTCTAACCAGAGGTTAAAACACTTGAGAGAAATTTGTAGAAATATTAAATAGAAACAAAAAATGGATTGAAAGGCTTAACATCCCACTTCTTACCCCTTAAAACACCCAGAATTATCGTGTAGAGCTGGATGAACACAGCAGGCCAGGCAGCATCAGAGGAGCAGGAAAGCTCACGTTTCGGGCTTCATCCCTCCTCCTTGACCTGTCCGTCTTCTCTCCCACCTATCTTCTCCTCTATCCATCTTCTATCCGCCTCCCCCTCTCTCCCTATTTATTTCAGAACCCCCTTCCCCTCCCCCATTTCTGAAGAAAGGTCTAGGCCCGAAACGTCAGCCTTCCGGCTCCTCTGATGCTGCCTGGCCTGCTGTGTTCCTCCAGCTCCACACCTTGTTAACCCAGAATTATACGTTTTTGGCATTTTTAATCGTAAAAAGTCAATAGTTTGACCTCTATTATTCAGCAACCTGCCACTCCTAGTTGCATTGATCCATGACTCCAGATCAACTCTAGACTCTAATCTCCATGCTTAAACCCAGAATCACAGAAGTCTTATGGAGCAAAAGAGGCCATTTGACCCATCGTGCCTGCACTAGCTCGTTAAATGAGCATCATTACCTATTGCTGCTCTCCTGTTTTTTTCCCCAATTGACCTTAAAAAATAAACCTTTGAACTAATTTAGAACATGGTTTCAGGCTTATCTCAGTGACTAGCAACCTTATGAGTCAGGCTGAGAATTTAGCACCGCAGATTTACAGAGGAGTTATCTTTCAGATGCAATATTACAGTATGCCTTCTCAGGTAGATGGAAATACTTTGAAGAATAACAGAAGATTCTTGTTGATGGCCCCTCCAGGCACAACTTATATATCCCTCAACCGACACAACTAAAACAAATTAATAAATTAGCAACTTGGTACTGTTCGTGCGTGCTTTGTGAATGCAAATTGCCTGCTGTATTTTGTACATTGCAATAAGATGCAGTTTTTAAAAAAATAATTAATTGGTACAATAAAGTGCTTTAGGACATCCTGAGGCTATTAAAAGAGCTACACAAACGCAAATTTATCCTTTTTGTTACACAAGAGTGAAAACTGAGGATAATAAAAATAATTCTTGCCTTGTCTTTCTTTAATTTGTTCCAGGGATGTGGGAAAATGGTAAAGGCATTATTTATTGCCTGTCCCTAGTTGCCCTGACAATAATAAGAGCTAACCACAATTTGTGGGACTGGAGTCATATGTGTAACAGACTGGGCAGGAGTGGCAGGTTTCCTTAGTCAACCTGTTGGCATTTTAAAACACTACAGCATCTTTTATAGTCATTTTTCCTCTGCAACTAGCCCACAAATCACCAGATTTATTGAGTTCTGTTTCATAACTTGTCATGACGGGATATGAACTCACACCCTGTGGTTTTCAGTCGTGCTCCATGACCACTACACTACATTAAGGAGGAACTTCTTACTGTTATAATTTGTGCTTATCATGATGGAATAGATTAACATAGTTTGTTGCAGAAGGAATAGTTCATAGTTGGAATGGTCTTTTCTTATGCTGTAGTGTGTTGGACTTCTACATCCTCATGGTGATCTGGTTGCATATACAAGGAGTGTTCACTTTTTTCAGATATGTATCACAAGGATACCATAGAAAAAGCATATTGCCTTTGGAACAGGCAGATTCAGTACATGCAGATTCACCAGAGCAGCAGAAGTGGAAATTATGAAGAGAAACCACAAGTACATAATTAGGCTTGTATTCCCTGTGATATGGCAAGTTAAAGAATGATTTTTTTGGACTTTTTCTTTAGGATTTTGAAAGAAATGGATAGGGTGAAGAGAAACATATTGACAGTCTAGATCAAGGGGGCATAACTTTAAAATCAGAGTGAGGCCAATCAGGAAAGACATTAGAAATGCTTCAGATAAGGGTGCTAGAAGTGTAGAACACTCACACAAAAAGCAATAGATACTAGCTTAACTAATAATTAAAAATCTGAAATCTGTAGTTTTTTTTTGCTAGGAAAGATATACACAGATACAGAGCCACAGCATGTGGTTGCAGCTAGGATGCATGTCATCTAAGACCTTGCCGAATGGTAGAACGAGTTTGAGGGGCTGAATGGCCTCCATCTCTCCCTATGTTTCTGTGATGCTCTCAGAAATCCTAGATGTGTGTGCAAAATTAGTGGAATCAATTATGATCTGACTTATAATTAGTGGGTCAGATATTTAATAACTCTTTATGAAAATATGCAGTTGAATTCTCTGCTACTTTTGTTTAGTTTCTATACTGTTCTGTATAAAAAAAAGTGTCAAATTTATTTGATGCATCAGAGATAGCTTTTAGTAGAGATTACATAATATCTGCATTGACTTTATCCCTTTGAGCATTATTTTCCTTACTCTTGATATTTACTCTTAAACCAGGAAACGTTTGTCTAGTTCGGCAGAATGTACTGTCATGTTTCAGTAGTTTTGGAGTTAATGTTGGATTCTGCTTTGGATTAATTGAAGGAAGTTATTTTCTCTCTGGTTTGGATTGCCAGAAAACCACACCTGAAGCAAATCCTACTTAGAATTTGGGTAGTTACAGTGCGGGGTTGTGATTATTTAGGAGATTCTTTCTGGGTTCACTAAGGTTTAACCATTGTCTGGATTGCAGGCGACACCAGCACTCTGTGTTTGAATATTTTGGAAATGTCTGGAGAGATGGGAAGCTGAGTGTTTACGATTCTATGTTGCTGGAAGGCTAAGTGTTGTCTCCAGATGTTTTTTCTTCCTGGACTGAAGTAACCTTAGGAAGGAGAGATGATCTACTCTTCTTTAAGAATTGATATAAATGTCCTGTAAATGAATTATAAATAACCTTTCATGACAATTTTTTTTGTCCTGAGTACAAATGACAGGCATTTTATTAAACTTGAATGGAATGTTTGCAAAATATCAATAGACATATTGTTACAACTAATTTGAGAATTGGATGAGGGGGCATTCTAGAACTTGAGTTTTGTCGAGCTGATGAAACTCTAAACTCAAGTTCTGTCAGAAAAGACAAGGCATTTACAAAGATTTCTCTAACACTATCATGATTCAAAGTTTTATAAATAAATATCGCACCTAAAGTGGAAAATGATTGTGGACTCAATTCAACACAGGCTACTTTGCTGGAAATGACTGACTGCTCTCCAGTTGGAAACTTGAGGTAAGACCATGATGAAAATGTCAGACCAGTGCATGATTGAGGGACCACATGGTTAAATGTGTTGCATTACTCTCTGTATGGTCTGGCAATTAAAATTCTGAGCTTAGGCTTTGACGTGGCTCAACCAACAAAATGTCCATTCACCATTATGAATAATCTTGAAAGTTTAAGATTAGCTTTGCTAAGGTCTCTATCACACATGAATCTTCATGTCAAAGCTACAATTTTTTTAGGGTAGCCTGTTGGCTCATTCTATTTTTTTGGCTCATTCTATTTAATGTTACTATCTAATTCTGTTACTAGGATACTAATTACCTAGGATTTAAAGGGCAAACAAGTATTGGGAATCAATTAGAAAACTGCATTAAATGCATGTTGAGTGGTTTGCCAATGACTCTTGTGGTGAAGTGATAGTGTATCTATTTCTGAGCCAGGAGGTTCAAGTCTCATCTGCTGAAGAGATCTATTATAACTTCGCTGAGCAGATTGATTGGAAATGTCTATCATTGTTTCCTGGCAATTGAGGCAAGGCTTGCAGTGCAGTGGTAGTGTCCCTACCTGAGAACTAGGAGGCCTGGGCTCAAATCCCACCTGCTCTAGAGGTGTGTCATAACAGTTCTGAACAGGTTGATTAAAAAAAAAGTATGTGAAGAAAGACAGGACGCCTGGGTGTTTACAAAAGGAGCAATAAGTTCTATGTGAGGAAAACAAAGAAGCTCTTCTGAAGTATATTAATCTCTATATATTCTTCACCAATAATTTCAAGTCAACATTAACATGAAAGAATTTAAATGCTGTACAATGAGGATGTGGGATATGTCATGAATGTTCTCTCACTCAAACCTCAATTGATACCAGTCACCTACAAATGCTTTTATTTATAGG